AACAGACAGTTAAGGAAGCATATTGAAGTGGAACATTCTAATGAATAGATATTGTAGTCAAGGTAATGAGCATCCAAGATGCAGGTCCCACAATATAACCCAAATTGCAGAGATATTTCTCTAAAAAAATCTATCATAAAATAGATAATTTTAAAAATCTGAGCTATTATAAAATGGAGAGTCAGTTGAAGGTTTGGGAATTGTCTCTGAATTGAATAAATTGGTTGAATATGAACACTTGGCTCTTTCTTATGTCTTCTGAGAAATAGGATGTTTTTGTTGTCATCAACACTGCTTAACGATGGAACTCAATAATGGTACATAAGTTTAACTTTTAACTATGCTTCCTGAATTCCATTTCCCATTGCCTTGTATATGCAGGGGTCTTCATCTGGTGTAATACTTCAAAAATCTAATGAGGTAAATTCATAAAGTTTATGCTAAATATTTTTGTAGCTTTTATTGTGTTATAAGATATAAGGTGCCAAGAGGGCATATGCCATATTACCTCTCTGCTGATCTGTGAGGTAGCATACCGAGCAAATCTATGTGCACGTTGGTTCACAATATCTAATCAAAGCTTTACTTAGATTGCAAATATGGGAGTTAGGCAAAGACTTTGAAATTGCAGAAACATTCAGATTGCTATTAAACAATTGCACAACACTGCATCTGAATTGCTTTGGTTTTGCTTTTCCAATCTTCATCTGTAACACTAAATGTGAATATCCAAAACATCAGCAAGTTATTTGTAAATACAGATTTCTGAAAATATATAAATTCTTGCTCTTCTCATTATTTGAGTCTCCTATATCTTTCCCTGCCCTCCTTTGTTTTTGTTCAAGAACATGGTGAAGGGAGTTTGAGTGAGTTCACTGTTAAATTGATGAGGGGCATGTGGGTGTCAGAACAACTTATATTTTGTTTTAAAATATTACAATATAACCATCTAAATCAGGGGTATCAAACTCAATTTCATTGAGGGCCGCATCAGGGTTGTGTTTGACCTCAGGGGGCGGAGTGGGTATAGCCAGGGTGGGCATGGCCAGCTCGACATCCTGCAGCCCTCTGCCAGCGAAAATGGAGCATGGGCCATTCCTTTGCTCTTTCCAGGGTGGGTCCGTGGGCCAGATCTAAGCACCCTGTGGGCCGGATCAGCCTGTGGGCCTTGAGTTTGATCTAAATGCTGAGACAATGTGAAGATAAATACTGTGGAAGCATCTGCTCACAGCAGTCTGGTCATATTTGCAAGGATGAAGGAAGGAATGCAGGTACCACGAGGGTGGCAGTTGAAACCTATGTTAAGAGATGTCTGGTAGGGGCAGTAGTTCAGAAAGTGCTGAGTGAGAGCGGGGCTGCCTGCATTGTTACCTAATCCTCAAAATGATGCTATAGGGCACTGCACACCAGAACAAATAGACACAAGGACAGTTTGTTCCAGAATGCCCTCACTTTGCTAAACAACTAATTCCCGGAACACTGTCATATTACCTACTAAAACTGTACTATTCTTCTTCTCTTTCTTCCTAGTACCTCTTTTCCCACTTATTACTATAACCATGTTGCTTGTATCTTTACAATTTTTATTGTTTTTTTGTTCCTAGTATGATTTCATTGCTTATTAGTAACCTATGATTATCTTATGATTCTTGATGAATGTATTTTATTTTTCTTTATGAACACTGAGAGCATATGCACCAAAGATAAATTCCTTGAATGTCCAACCACACTTGGCCAATAAAGAATTCTATTCTATTCTATTCTTTTGTTCTGTTCTGTTCTATTCTTACTTCTCTGTCTTGCTTCTTGAAGAATACCAAGAAAAAGTGAGAAAAACATGATGTCTTTGTTTTTCTGTACTATCATATAACTACTTCCATCTCTTCCCCTATCTATGACTGGAGAGCTCTTTGTTTATGAAATAGCAGCACACCCTTACTTGTATTGATAGTTTTTATCCTGTAAATTAAAGATTTGCCAGCTGCCAGAAAGCTTTACAGTATCTGGAAGAACTGTAAATGTTGCCATTGTAATTTCTAGCCACTCTGAACATCTTGCAGAATGGAATTCTAGGAGTTACAACCTAACTTGACTGGAGGATACCTTGCAGGGGAAGAGTGATGTAACACACAGTCAAGAAAAGACTTCCTCATGGGTGGCCTAGTGTATCCCACATGGAGGTTGTATGCAGCCAGGAGCACCTTGAGCAGAGATCAATACAAATATGAGAAATGTGCCACATTACAACACTTGTGGACAAGGGCACATTGAGTAATGGCCTAGCAGGCAATTCATTCTAAATTTAATGAAAAAGAGAAAGAGATTTTACATTCTTCTTATAATGGGATAATTCTGTTCCCTTCCTTCTTTTTAATTAAACATAAATGAGCATTTCCAATTTTCTTCATTCTTTCAACAGTATCTTAGGTCAGTGAAATGGTTACACTTAAAAAAAATAATTTCTAATGAAAATGAAGTATAGCAAATAAAATACAAATAAAAGTGCGGAATTATCTACTAACTCCTCTTTTTTGAAGTAATATATTGAGACAATTTCTAATGCTGTTTTAAAAGGTTACAAAGCCATAACAGAGAATTATGTTGGAGAATTCTGTAACTACTGACAAATGCTACATTTAAATATAACATTAAGAAAAAAATACTTTATATAATGTTAAATAGAGTGGATGTATGATATCTGCTACTAAACATGCCTTCAGCATCAGACTATCAATTCAACATATGTTCCAGTGGGATTCAATTTTTTTTACTACTGGGCATGGTGTGGCATGGCTTGGTGGGTGTGGCAGGGGAAGGATACTGTAAAATATCCATTCCCTCCCCACTCCAGGGGACGGTTACTGCAAAATCCCCATTTCCTCCTGATTAGCTGGGACTCGGGAGGTAAAGAATAGATGGGGGCGGGGCAAGTCAGAGGTGGTATTTGCCAGTTTTCTGAACTACTCAAAATTTCTGCTACCGGTTCTCCAGAACTGATCAGAACCTGCTGAATACCATCTCTGGTACAGTCTGTTTAGGACCAAGACCCAGGTCTTGAAAAGCTTGACAGCAGCCTTCCTCTCAAAAATAGGTAGAAGGAACTGGTTATTTTAAGGGGAAAAACTATATTAGATTTAATTTAAAGGAAATTAGATCAATTACTGTTAATCTAGTTATTTCTTATGCATTTAATATGCCTCCCATTCTGTTGCCATGAAAATGGCCATCTGCCAGCATTTCTGGAGTTGCTGTGAGAATCTGGATTTATGAGGCTTACAGGCACCTGTATTCTTCTTCTGTGCTTGCATTGTGACTCCTACGTATTTTAAGTAGCATTCAAAACAGCAATAATGAGGCTTTCTGTTGGAAAGCAAATGAAATGCATAGAGGTGCAAAAGATTGTGACTGGTGTGCATGAGAATGAAAGAGTAAACCGATAAGCAACTTTGACAAAAGAGACGTGGGCTGTCTTCAGATTATGTAAAACACCATTATAAGACATTGCCTAGAAAGGACACTTTCAAAACAAAGGGGCAGGATGTCTTCAAGACTAAATTAAGTTTTTTCCATCTAGCTCCCAAATTTGGCTTAAACAAAATACCAAATACTTGATTATTTAGCAGTGGCATCTTTCTTCTGCCACAGAATAGTGAGATTAATGTTATTTTTTTTATCTCAGGTTGTTTGGCTAATGAACTGTTGAGAACTCTCCTACTACTTTCTACTACAGATTTGCTTACTGACTGCCACATTTAGCGGCCATTTGAAGTTATGATGGTTGAAGAAAACAACAGCGTCCTGATCAATCCTTGCATCTATGACTGTTGCAGCATCTTGGGGTCACAAAATTGCCATTCAGACACTTTGCAACTGGTGCATATCTATGACTGTTGCAGTGTCCCGCAATCACGTGATCATGCTTCACAACCAGCTTTCAATAAGCAGAAATAATGGAGAGCTTTATCCAGCCAATTTACACATGGGAGTTAAGCGGCTTAAGGCTACAGAGCAGAAAAGCCCCAATTAGCTCGTTTCTTTTTCCCCTTTCCCTGAATTCCCCTTTTACAATAAAGGAGTTATCCCTCTCCCACCCCACCCGGTCATATAGCCTTGGACGGAGTACAATTTTTTAAGGGAAAGTATTAAACAGCTTAAAACTCCAAGACGTCCTTATATACACCTCTCAGCCTTAGATACTGTCACTGCATTTGACATAAAAGAAGCATTAAGGGAAAGACGGGTCCTTTCATTATTCTTGGCTTAGCATGTGCATCTTCTCCCTTTGTCTTCAGCTGTATTTGCAGAAGGGAGGACACCATCAGATGCCCAGGTTTGATTTCTCCCACAACCTCAATTCATGTTTTTTTTTCAGCAGCATCCCATTGTGTTGAATAAGATTACTATTTTAAGCAGCAGGTGTTAGCATATCATGAAAAGCGAGAACACCAACAAATAATTATTTATTATTGCTGTATTTTTACTGTAAAATATAAAGATAAGCGCATTCCGGTTCATTTTCCCAAATAATATAGTCAGCCTTAATCAATATGCACCTTAATTTGGGTGGCAAGATGAAAGAGCACAATGCCCTCATCTTTTAATCCCACATTGTTCTGTCTTTAAAGGACAGATATCCCTGTGATGTTCATCTGTCTGCCTCTTTCCACCTCTGCCTATTTTCCAATCTAGTGTTTGGTTTTGACTCTTTTCCTGAAGCTCTTGATCTTAAATTGGTGCGATTAAAATATGCAGACCCATTGTAATTGGTGGCATTATATCCCATGATCATCGTATTGCTATTATTGGCAAGTAAACTCCTGCTTTAGTCTTCCTCCCTCCACAGAAGAAACTTCTCATAGCTTTTATAGCTTATTTCATAATTTCTGTGGGGTCTCCATGCCTTTACACAGATGGTTTGCCAAGGAAACACAACAGCTTCTTTTCCCACCTCTCTGGGGCTTCCTCCTTTGTGTAGCTGATCATATGTAACTTCAACTTACCAGTTTGCGCTGACACCACTGGCAAATTCCACACAGGACAATGGTGACACTAAGGCTAATGGTAATGATGACTGAAACCAGGACGACATCACGGGAAGGTGTCCCTGAGAAGAGAAAATCCAAAGTTAGCCACGGTAATCTGAAGAATAATTTCTCATCACATCGCCTCATTGTCCTTTAAAGTTTTTTTACTTGCTTTTGTCCATATCTCTCAGCAATTTTTACAAAATGGATGGTCTGCTAGCCAGCAGAACCGATGAATGCTTCCTTCTCCAGAGATGTCTCCAGTGCCTCAGATCCCTACTTCTCAAAGTCTTTTTGTATTTTGTTTGGATTTCTACTGGGCTTAGTACTTAGTACTATTTTCTGTTAAACTAAACAAAAACATATGGTTCAATCAATATTTTTTAAAAATACTTTGTTCTAATTTCACCTTGGTGAAGGAGTGTCAGAAGAAAAAACAACTATGAATTCTTGGCAGTTCCTTTGCCAAGCAAGGTCTCAGTCTGGGGAGATCAAACCAGGGATTGAAACTGCTGCTTTGGCTGATGATGGAGAGATTTAGCACATGGACAGAGCAAGCCTTATTGCAATGCAGCACCCAGAACCAACCATAGATTATCATTAGTATGCTTTATGATTTCATGGCATTCCAGCTGCATGCCTTTCTATAGAACAATTATAGCAGCAAAAGAACATTGCATTTTTTTTTTAAAAAAGTACAGATCCAACAACTATTAAGAACTGCTCCTCTCTCACAAATTAAAAATAAAGGAAAATAAAAGTAAAGGTTGGGGCGGGGAGGGAAGATGACATTTGGGAGGAAATATGTATTTGACCACTGTTTGTGTCCCGATTATCCAGAGAAATAGTGTTCAGATATCATTCTCTCTCTCCTACAGCCCTCAAGATAGTTGGGAAGGAGATGGGATTTAAATCCACAATTTTACTCCCTGGATTCATGCTACTTTTCTGTTTTTATTCCAATATTTTATAAACATTGGAGCCAAGGGTCCTGAACAAGGGCTGCTGTTTTTCTTCTAGATAATAGTAAAGAGATACAGATGTTTTTCACTGCTGTTAAAGTGGTTGGTAGAGAAAAATATCCCCAAGTCACAGGCCAGAGAAAGTAGCCTGCTAGGGTGTGGGTTGTCCATCTGTGATCTAGAATATAAATAGCACAGGTTCTAATTAGGGCTCAAGAGAATGAATTCATATTCTAAAATAGTGGCCTTGACCTAGAAAAGTATGACAATATTAAAACTAGAGCTACTTTAATTGCAATTCTCATGGAAAGGTCCCAGTTGTTTAGAGCTAGCTAGCTAAGGTAAGTAGATGCTTTGGCTACCTCCACAA